CCCGTTTTCAAACTAAAGGCGATTATGAATTGTTGATATAAGAATCGAATAATGTAGCGAACATTCCAGCAATTTCTATAGACAGCGAGGCGCTATGAAAGATCGGCGAGTAATTCTTCCTAGAAATATTACGTGTTTGTGCAAGAATATTCGGAAACGACCTTGAGAGCTCGAAAACATTGAACGAACATGTCGGCAGTATTTGATTGTTTTTTAAACAGAGTTTCGAAAATGTTCCCAACAAAAGCAGAACTGGTTGATAGGGTGTTTATTCTTGGAGACTGTTACCGAAATTGTTTGTTGACGGCACAAGAGTATGCTGTGAGATATCCTGGCAGCACACATTCAAATCCACGCGCGTTTCAAAAGGTGTTGGATAGAGCGAGATACTGATTTATATCTTTTATTTCCGTTAGGCGCGACTTATCAGTGGAAGACTGATTCGCGTAAACTTTCTACGTACTTTAGGAATGCTTACTTAATGTAATTTAAATTTTATTATTTAAAATTATCGGTTACGTTGTTTTCTAAGGTAAATTTAATTATCTGGCCCGCAAGCACATTTTTAATTCAGTTAGGATTAGGTTTTTTGTCCTTTTGCAGGATTGTAAGAATTCATAAATTCATAATACCACGTATGCATACTGAGATATTTAGATATTTTCATGCCATTTATAATTCCTTACGCAGGGAAGTAATAAGGGTTATTTTAAAAACACGCCAATATGAAAGTGGAGTAATCTCTTCAAATATACTTGAGTATTTAAATTTGAGTTATTTTTCCAAGTTTTGGTCACGAATTTTTAAAAATTAATGTACCTGCAGTGAAGGGAAAATTAAATTAATTCTTTCCTAATCCTAACCCCCTTAATCTGAGTTATACGGAGATGAAAAAGTACATAAGGCAGATCCAAACGTACTAAAAACGAAAGGAAAAAAAACGAAGGTTGCAACCAGATTTTATACATCGAACCTGTGAATATTATTGACCCCTTTGTATTGTATTGTATGGTGTATTATACACGATGGTCCAGACAGATGATTTAGCAAATCAGAAGGCTTTGGAACTATTTAAGCAATGCAGGAATGACTTAATAATTTGGTCGTACACACGTATCCACCTAAAATGCATGAAATTTACTTCTAGGGCATTGAATTAATGGGTTGAACGTTTTTCCAACGAAATTGGTAAGAAATAATTGACATAATTTAATACCAATCTCTGGGATATTTCGTTACTACGATCTCGAGTAATATATAAAAGGCGGTGGAACGCCCAGCAGTTAGTGAAACGAGAAACTTTTGTTATCTACAATCAACCAGACTTGAGCATCATAAAAGTGACATGCAAATCAAGTACGTCAAAAAAAGAAACTTTAAATCGCCCTTAAGTCTATCACTCGTCCGTTTAGAATAAAAGGTCAAGTTTAACACAAATTCAATTTGAAATTCGATAGCATGAAAGGTTTCCTGAAAGGGAACAAGGGATTAGAGACAGCTACGTTTTGTTGTTAAGACGACAAGCACGAAAACAGGTGGCATGTAATGTACTAAATAGAACAATTCGAGTAAAGATTAAGACATATGCGATACTGAACTGAAAATGTAAGACATGACAGCGTGACACAAGTTGGAAAGTTGTTCCCTCAAGTAGCAAAACTGAGTTATAAATCATCTACTCAAACAATTATGAATACAATGTTGTTGATGTGAGGTGCTTTTGTTGGGTAGTAAACAAATAAAAAGATTATCCTAAAGCAAAAACGAGCCTAATACTTTGTTTGAGATTGAACGATATGGAGACTACACGGTGAGTGCATCTGAAGTCATTTGTTGATGTATTAGTTTTGATAAATAAAACTATTAGCTCGTCATTTTTTACGTTGAGGATTTGGCGCCCAACGTGGGGCATAATCATTTGACTTGGGAAACTGCGATTTTGAGTTTGTTAAATTCATGATCATAAAAAGTAACAAATTACATAACTTTTCAAAAACTGGACCTAGTTCTAAAAAATTCATATTTAATTTAGCTCCCCCCTCCACCCCCCTTCAAAAGTTTCTGTACCCATACCAGTAATAAGAGTTCTAGATCTAGATGAATTTTCCCTTTTATTTATTTTAAATAATTACAGTCAAAAAATCAAATTTTCTACGTGAAAACAGTTTAGTTCTATGGTTTGCAACACACTGTTTTCTAGTGTAGCTACTAACATCTCGACCAAGGTCTTAAATCACCGAGTCACGCAGAAAGGGTTCAAAATTCAGTTCAATGACTTTTTCCAAGGCTGTACACTGTACGATTTTCAACACTTTTATAGTGTGCTCGTAATTAGTGCTATCAAAAAAGTAATACAGTATAATGTGTACCTACTAGTATGTGCGCTTTTTAGGTCAAACTTAAAATGGTAAAATCAAGATTTGAACATATTGACTCGCTTAAGAAATACGAGGGAAAACCAAAAAATTGTCAATTTGAGAATAACCCATATTTTCTTAGTTAATACAGATACGGAAAAACGTTTATCACAATAGTTTCTTTATAATACTCGTGGATTTAAAAAGGTTCAAATAATTAAAAAAATACAAACAATTCCCAAGAAATGTTTTTGAATTTTTAAGTCTGTTTTAAAACTTTTGGAATCAATATTAATTTTTTTAAATTGTTTGTTTTATATTAAAAAAATGAGGTTAGATCCATTATCTTTTTTACCTGATCCCTTTTCAATATTAACAAATTTTGATTTTTTCATTTTAAATTTGAATATTTGTTCAGAATGGCCATATATTTTCTTAGATAAAAAAGATACGGAAAAATGTTTATTACAAAAGTTTATAATGATTGTGAAATAATCTGCCGTTATCAGATTGAGTATACGATGTCGGATGAAAAGTGATCCGATCTAGCCACATTTTTTTAATTGGAACGCCCTGTATATTACAATTTAAAAAGACTCTCTTCAAAAATATAACGTACAGGAGGGACAACTTTCAAAAAAGATTCAAGTGATTCAAAAAATATTCAAAACATTTAAATAAGATTTTAAAAAAAATTAAAAGTTTCAAATGATTAAAAAAATACAGTTAAAATCCTTTTTCAATCCATATTGAATTGCATTTTTTAGTGTTATAGTTTTGAAAAGAGAATTTAATATGCAATTTCCACCAAAAATAATGACGGGACACCCTGTATATGAGAATATCTCACTTTATTAAGTAAATCGCAGGGATTACTCATGAATAAACGCAAAAGTTGGTTTATTTTATTTGAATTTGTTGTCTCAATGGCTATTTTTCCTTTTAGAATTGTTAATTGCGTAATTTTTTTTAAAATCTTATCGTTTTTGTAAATTATTTATTTATATTTGTGTCTTTAATTGTTGCGTATTGATAAATCTGGGCGCTTGCGATAAGGAGTTTTATCGGGCCAAAATTAATTAACGCACATCTGGTGTTGATAGCGAAGACGGAAGTGTTTCGAAGAATTGCGCGTTATTTCGGCGTAAGTGGGGACGCATGCCTTCGAAGCTGGTGTTATTGACTCTAATTGGCGGTGGCGGTGTTTTGAAAATTGTGGAATGAAAGAAATTACTTTACAGTGGAGGTGGTGTTGAAGGCGAGTTCGTCGGTTCCGAAGTAGTAAAAGTTTGTGGGAAGTTTTTAAAGCGATTTGTTCGTATTCAGAAAAATTAGTTCGAGTGTGAGTAAACAAAGCAGTGCTTAGTAAAAGTTAAAAGTATCTCCCGTCCGAGCAGCTATCGAAAATGTTTTTCAACTTCTTAATCTAGCCAGTTCGAGTCAGTGGGTTCAGTTTACTAAAGAAAAAGTGACCGACTGCGTACGGGGTATTATGTCCAAACATGCTTTGTAAGCTGCTCTTTCTTTCAGTGATATTGTTTTGTTTCATGCGTTTCGAAATAAATTTTTGTCGTGTTAATCAAAAGTTGTATAAGTCGATCGAAGCCACCGAGGCTCTCGATTTGAGAAATTCTTTCTTCTAGCAGATGCCGAATGTGTACAAGGAGTAATTATAAAATTCTACGTTTCAATTTTGATTTGTTTTGAGCTAACTGGACATGTGTTTTGTAGGTGGCGTAGTAATCGCACGCCATTGCACAAAGTAATAGAGTGTTCCATTTAAAATAAGCAAGTTCTGTATTTCCGTTTGTAAAATAAAAGGCAACGGGAATTCTCGGTAACGATCGTCATTAATACGTATGTATCAAGCAATAAACTATAATAGCCTAAATATCAGTAAATAGCACAAGGGGTTTCTTCCAAAAAGAAAAACAAACAACCAACTGCAAGGAATTATGTATCGAAAAGCGATAATGAGCCCTAAAATTCTACTCATGTATTAAATGATCGCGAGTATATATATTTTGGGGGAGAATTCCCGACAACTTCTTGGTGTAGCAATAAAAATCAGCACTTCCCTTTACTACACAGCATGTAGACGTCCGGGTCCGATGTGCTTGTGACAATACAATAAATTCTCCACAATTGAACTCGACGCGATGGTTCTGCCCGCCCTAACGTTTGCTACCCTACATTTCTTTCCTGAAATTACCTTAACTTCGCCCAAAATTTAGTGCATCCAGCTTTCGCGCGACCGTTCAACATAACATACATTACGAATCGGCAACATTAATTCTTTCCTCGAATTTCTAGCGAATTTTGATTCAATTTAAGAGTAAACGAAGGACAGGTCAATTCGTTGTGTGTGCTACTTAATTTAATTGTAAAAGTACAGACTGCAATCAGTTAACGATGGACCGGTTCATTGTACAAAATGCAACCCCTCCTTGAAATTATTTATTATTCAAACTAAGGGAAGCTTCTCTCAGCTTACTGTAATAAATTGTGACAAGCCAAATGACAGAGATGATATACTTAGCGTTTTTGCCATAAAGAGAACGACTATAATTTACTTGGAGTACTTCCGAAAACGATTTGCTTTATGCCGCGCGCCTATGGACTATTTGTAAATCGAATACTTACTTCGTTAATGTGTTTGTAGGTTTTAATAAGATCAACACTAAGTTTCCTAAGGGGTGCCGTTGATGGTTCTCGAAAGGTGTGGGGTATTCGGGCCTGCATTGCCAAGATGTCCGTTGGAGCCCCCATCGACAAAGGCTCTTCCGCCACCAATCTTCCGTAAAGAGGCACATGCCGACGAGAAGTTGTATCGCTTCCACCACCGGCCGGCACTGTAACAATTAAATTCATTAAGAAAGGGGTGCCAAAATCGACGGGCATCACGTACGAAAACTGCTACTCGCATTATAGCACTCGTACCACATGTCAGCCGATCAACAGATTAACTTCGATAACAATGCGCTTAACTAACACTAATTTCTCCCGACTTCTTAGAATAAACAAATTAGCATATTTAAAGCAATTATTTTCTCTTCCCAGGTAATTACGTGACAATTAGATAATGAATACCAAATCGATTTCCAATCCCATTAAAGATTGGCAAATGGAATCGGGATATCCAGCGTATACGTTATAGGTTGAATTTCAAAGAGACAACACATACGCGTGATCGTTCATTTACATAAAGGTCGAACTTCGAGGACAGGAATGAAAATATTTTGTTGCCTAAATCGACTTGCCCCCCAAATTTGAAATTTCATTAAAATGTTATTAGATGTCGAGATAAACACAGTTTGTATAAAGGTGGTAATGAAACCGCCTTTATTATGCGAGTTGCTTTCTCAAGAATGTCAGTAGCTTCAAATGGAAATGCCGTAGTAGTTCCATTAGATAACCATAATGGGAACACCCATAAAATTATTCCCTAGAACGAGACGTTTGTTGGACGCAATTTTAATACCGCCATCTTAAAAAAATTGCGTTGCGTGTGTGTGAGATGCGGTTAAAACAGAGCCAAAGCTTCGACCTTTTCTTTAAACTGTCGTGAGGTAATTAATTTCCTGTAATCGAAGCAACTCGATTGCAAATGATTTCTACTAATTGCGGGATTTCAGGGAATTTCGCAGGATTGCAGGGGATTTTTTGAGGGTTCAGATTAGATCCGAGCTCTAACTATTATACCTACATATTCATTCTTAGAAACAAGGAATACCAATTACTTTTATAGGACATTCTGAGACAAAACCAAAAATAATTGAATTTGTCAAATGGGACACTGTATGAGGTTTCTACGCTCGCAAACCTTGGTCTGGCCGCTTCTGATGGTAAAACAAGGCACAGACGAATAGACAAAAACAATCAAGGTAGTAAGTATAAGTAGCTGTTAATAAATGATTAAAATAAAAGCACAGTTCCATATTGACAAATACTTTCTCGAAAAGAAATGTTATCTACCTCTCTGACTTTTTTTTACAGTCACCCTCAATTCATTCGTATACTATCTTGCATAGTACGTTACTAAAGAATGTATAAAAGAACCACGAATATTATTTTATTGTTTCCTTAAGCGATCGATTTCGGTTTTTTTAGGTTTTTTTTATATATCTGATGATGGATATATAAAAAACCCGAAATCGATCGCTTAAGAAAACAATAAAATAATATTCGTGGTTCTTTTATACATTCTTTAGTCATAAAGCAGAACCAGAAAATGGAGATCTTCATAGAAAATATAATACGTTATTTTATAAACTTTAAGGAAAAATTCAAGATTGATTTCACAAATGAAATAATAAATGTTTAGTGTCACTGGTTTTATAATTTTTTTCTCTATCTATCCAATATGAAACTAAACATTTTTTGGTCATATCTACAGACGCCTAAATGGCGGCAACCAGCACCAGCAAAGCTGGATTGGAGCGTTCGGGTAAATTCTATTTGACAAGAATCGACATTCTCGCGATTTCGCCCGAATTCACCCATGATACTTCCCATCAGCGATGATTGATGCACACTGTTGCTATAATTTTACTCGCAGGGATGTTTCTGTCAAAATTTCAAGAAAATTGCTCTGAACAAGATTAAATGTCCCCCAAAATATGAACCATTTTCCTCGAAAATAGAGCAATATGAAATATGATGATTTTGTGCCCATACACTTGCACTAGGATTCTATTACAAAAGCTCTTAATGAAAACGCGTTTGAAAAGTGTTAGTCATCAACATGTGTAATAGTTACACTAATTACTTGATTAATGAGCATGATTTCTAATTCCATTTGCAATTATAGATACTGCTATTCACTATGTTTAATTTCCAGCAATTTACAAAGCGGTGACAAATAGGCTGATTACAATTACATACGAGCCATTAGACACAAATGTATTAACATTTATATACTTCACGTATTCGATTCGCAAATTGACGGCGAATAACCACTATCATTTGATGCTTCGTCATATTTGTATTCAAAATATTTCAGAATTAAAGGTCGTCCTGCGCACGCTCAGAGTTCGGGTCACAATCGCAACATATTGGTTACATAAAATCAGGCACGTGACAATAAACAGTGAATCTATAAATCATGATTCAAATTGTTAAATTAAGCCATAAGAATAGTTCATGCACGCGCAACAAAAGGAGGCGCCCGTGTGTCCGTTTTCGCAACAATTTTTTTCGTGAATTACCCCTTAACTGGTCACAAGACTTTGATTCAGCTGCGAGTTTATTCTTCAGCTACCGATCTATCTGTGTTAACGTTTTAGTGTCCTCCCCGGCGAAAAAAACCGATTGACACCACCAATCCATCCTGTATTAGTGCGCAGGTGTATGGCCCCAATTCGCTCAAGATTGAATGCACATTCTCCCACGGCTTAGAACGTACTACTTAAATGTTTTATTCACACCCATTCTGGGACATGCAACGTTCTCCATCAATAGAGCAGATTTTTTTCTAGCCAATCAAATCCTTAGAAACCCAAATAGGCGTATATACAGGGCGGACTTTTTTCTGGGATACTGAAAATATCTTTAAAACAATATTTTTTTCAAAGAAGCTTTTAATGCTATCCAAAATTATGTATAAAAAGTTTACTACCAATCGACATACCTTAAAATTGCCATCAATGGCGTACGTCTGCAGGATCAGGGGGTATATTTAATTTAATGGCATATATATTCTTAAAGTCTTAGCGTATTTTTTAAGAATAAAAAAAAATGTGCTATTAATAGTTTACGTTATTTTCGTCCGCCCGGATCCACTTCTGTCATGTTGAACTACTTTTAAGGAAATGGTCCTAGAGTCCTGGAATTTTGTGCAATAACTTTTACATGCGACAACCAATTGGGCTCAGATTTTCCATACGCATCCCTTTAGCGGTTCCAAGTACACACTGTGTCCAAGATAAGGATGTCTATCATGGAAACCATAGAAGATAAAACGATAGTCAAATTAGACAAAAGAGTTATTACCATACTTCACAGAAAACCAGAAAATTCCGATTACTTCTGAAGATATGTCGGAAAAACCACCGATTTGGTTTTTTTTCTGGTGTTATTTCAACTGACAAAAACACTTCTTCATTGCCACTTTTTGAGCTCTACAAGACAACGTTTCGTTTCGGAGAAATTATCATCAACATTGTTTTTTTATAGGGTCCGTAAAAAAAAGTGCAGACTGTATTGAGTAGCATTTTTTTATTACGAATACAACGATATATGGCACACAAAAAAAACAGAAGTTGGAAACTGTTTGTTTCAACAAGATGGTGCACCCGCGCACAACGGCCCAATTGTGAGAAAATATCTATGGGACAAACTTTCCATTTCCCAAAACATTTGTTCGATGGGTATTCTCAAACGATTCGCGGTGTTGTGCGCGGTTGCACCATCATGTGGAAACCAACACTTTCCAACTTCGTAATTAAAAATTCTACTAAATAACAGTATGCACTTTTTTACGGCATTTGATGATGATATCTCAGAAACGAAACGTTGTATTGAAAATCTCTCAACCGTGTCTTCTAGAGCTCAAAAAGTGGCAATGAGAAAGTATTTTTTTTTGTATCTATTGAACACTAGAAAAAAATAAAATCGAAATCGGCAAATTTCGGTTTTTCTGGCATATCTTCGGAAGTAATCGGAATTTTCTGATTTTCTTCAAAGTATGACAATAACTCTTTAATTGCCCATATTTCCTCTACTTTGACCATCATCGTATACTCGTATCTTTTATACTCATATAGTGTTTGGTCTTCCCAATATATTTAATTTGGTTGTTATGCCAAACAATATTTTTATTTATTTTTGTTTAATTATTAGAAACAGCAAGGGAATTTATTTCAATTTGTTTGAATATTAAGTATTTAGTTTGAATGTTGTGTGAACACGTTGAGCTTGATACTCGCGGCCAGGGAGGGGGCTTGCGTCGTTCGGTCGACATAGTGGAACATTATTATTATGTTTTTGACGTTTGAAAGAAAGTTTATGTTAATGTGCTGCTCCTATCGCATCCTTGCTACCACAGACCAACTACCGCTACCGAGACGCCACTGCATTGCTGGGATCCATTAAAACAAAAGTGAGTGCTTGCTCAACGCTGCCGCTTTTTTTTGCACCCGCTTAAGTTTATCACACCGCTTAAACATATAGTTTGGGAGATCCCCATTATAGACATCCTTATCTTGGACACAGTGTATATTTTGAACATGGGAAGAGACGAGGGGTGAACACACGTTCTACCTTTCATAGCTGTTCATTTAAAACCTACCTGCTTTCCCGCCGGCGGCCCAAGATGTTCATATAGAACAGACCTACTTTCCTGCTAAAATGTTAAAACCGATTTGGTCTTTCGAACCGGATCTGAACCAGCGACCTATGGATTCGGTCCTTCGAGCCGGATGAAGGCTACATTTCATTCTTCGAGCATTTAAATGAATCGATGGAGTCAGGACGTCAGAAGCTGCATACGCTGTCTGCGATTCAACCACAGTACGGCGCAACCATTAATGGGAAATCTCCCACCAGTTCGAGTAAATATGGTACACTCTTTATCCTTCACTTCATGGTACTGTAATGAAAGGTCTCAACGAACGGGATTAATTTATACCAACCACCTCCTTGACCTCCTATCGTGATCAGATACATGGGCGTACGCAGCTTTTGGTTTAGGGAGGGGCAAAAAATAAAATTGACGGAAAAAAATGTTTAATGAAAAACATAATATACATTTTTATTTTTAGTAGGTAATAGTTACCAAAAACGTCTTCAAAATTATTATATCTCAAAATATTAGTTATTACCGCTTTTATATCAATTAATTTTGTATTAAATA